AGTAGTAGTTAGTACTAACTAATAAGTAAGACGGACGAACGTAACGTAACGAACTAACTAATACTACTTAGTACGAACTAAGTAAGAACGTACGTACTCTCTCCTCCTCCTCCCTCCCTCCCTCCCTCCCTCCCTCCCTCCCTCCTCTCTCTCTCTCTCTCTCTCTCTCTCTCTCTCTCTCTCTCTCTCTCCCCGCCCCCCCAAACTAGAATTTAGTAGTGGGATTACATGTGTTGCACATAGAAATGAAAGAAGTAATCATATAAATAACCTTCTAAATATGCAGTGGAGACTACGTAAACATGTAATAAGCATTCATAAAACTATTTTCATGGACATGCAATGTAACAATAAATTGATATATGATAGACGATCAGATTTTGCAAGTTTAGAATTTTTAGATAAGCGATGAGAATAAAGAAGAATATCAAATTATTCAAAGAGGAAAAGTAAGCACAGAATTCATTTGCCTCATTTGTTCATTCCCCAAGACCACAGCCAGTAGCATTTTCGGATTCTGAAAATCATAATTTTTTTCAGTTTTGGATTTTGAAAAAAATCTGAAAATACTCATAGAAATAAATCATTAAATTGAAAAAAATGATAAGATCTCAATTAATATTTGGTTATTCTCAAAAAGTTACGAGAAAACAGGTATGAATATAATAATGGAAATTATTTAGGTAAAATTCAAACAACATAAATTAAAAGGGATTTGTTCGTAAAATTTTTAATGTATATTTTATTTAAATTTTTATACTGGATTTATTCACAGATTGTTTTTCATTGGACACTGATGTGCAATGGGGCATGGGCATCATGCTCAGGGCTAGGAGCATTTTCAAAACTTTCAAATCAAAATATTAAAATTCTGGATTTTCAAAATCCAAAAATGCTCGCACAAAAAATACTAAATTTCAAAATGATCAATTATGGTTCTTGAAGATCCGAATTATGGGCTGTTTGGACATTTTTAAAAAATTGCAAACAAATTAGGTACGAATGTACTAATGAAAAATATTTTCGTAAAATTTAAATAACATAAATTAAAAGGGATATATGTGTAATTTTCTCTAAAGTCCTTATTTAAATTTTCTATTAATATTTACTATACTTTTCATTTAAGTTTTAAATTTGATTTCTTCATATATATTTTTATCATGTGCGGAGCATTTTTGGGTTTTAAAAATCCACAATTATTTAATTTTTGGATTTTGAAATCTTAAAATGCTCATAGGAAAAAATCACTAAATTTCAAATGATCAATTTCGATCCTAAAGATCCCAATTGTGGCCTGTTTGGTTTTTTTAAATGTTTACAAACAAAACAGTTATAATGTAATAACATAAAATATTCAGGTAAAATTTAAACAACATAGACTAAAAGAAGTATATGCATAATTTCACTCTAAAATTTATATAAATTTTCTCTTAATATTTATTGTTCATTTTAATTAATTTTTTAAATTTGATTCATTCAAGCATTTTTTCTGATTGGATGCTAATGCGCATGGGGCATGAGCATCATGCTTAGAGCATTTTCAGATTTTTAAACTTAAAAAATAAGAAACTTTTGGATTTTCAAAATCAGAAAACGCTCATAGAAAAAATCACTAAATTTTAAAAATGATTAATTGGGGATCTTAAAGATCATCATGACGCCTAACATCTATCCCATGTTGTTTTCCGGTGCTCAAGAGAGTGAGAGAAAGCGAAGAGTGAGAGAGAGGAGAGAGAATAAATCCAAAGAATCCCCTATCAACCAAAATAAAGGCGGTGGCAATTTTCTGGTTGATGCCTGCAAAGAGTGAGAGGGGGGAGAGAGAATAAATCCAGACAATCCCCTATCGACCAAAAAGAACGGAGGTGGCAATCTTCTGGTTGATGCCAGAGAACTCCTTGATGATCAAAAGATAGAGGAGGATGATGCAATGTTCTTGTTGAGCTCTTCATTTCGCAAGCCTGCCCCATCTCTCCTGAAGCCAAGCTCTTGACTTCGAGGTTAGGGAGAGGTGATTTGCATAATGACGTTCCCGTTATTGTGCTGGCTTTATCAACATTGAGTATTGGGATAATTTGGGGTGGAACAATCCCTATGGTTCCCATCTATGAAGCATTAGGCAGAAGGCATATGTTGATGCATTGAGGATGGACAGTATATAACCAACAACAAACCAAATAATCCACCAAATAACATTGAAATCAATGTCAAAAGACAAACAAACGACACCAAAATTAGAATGCTGGTACATAATAAAACAAAGGGGAACTCACTCTGTAGGAACCAGATATCCTTGAAAACTGAAGAAGATGCAGGTGAGAAGAAACCCTAAAAGCAATACATGGTGAGCATTGGTGCAGGGGGTTTGAACTTTGAAAACCGTTGCTAAACGAAATACACCTTCTCATCCCTTGCTAAGAGATGTTTTTTAAGGAGATACACCTCACCTTCCCGTCTATTGCTAAAGGGTGTTTCCGAAGGCGATGCACCTTTTCAAAAGACACGGCTTCTCAAAATTATATCTTTCTCATTTATTACTTCCCGATCTCTCTCGCATTTTTGTGTGATTGTTTACTATGAGACCATTTATTTTTATTACAAGGAAGTCACAATTACTCCTAGCCATTACATATCAAATTGGATACTTGGGGTGTGTCACAAAGTCCAACAAATTTATTTTATTTTTTTGACTTTGAGTCTAGTCAAAAGCACACTCACAACCACCCAATTTGAAATCTGATGGACAATAGTGATTGTGACCTCCTTGTACTACAAGTAAATGGTCTCTTTGTATACTTTTCCCATTTTTATTTCTTTAATTTTCTATTTCCCTCTCATTATTTCTCTACTTATTCATCTTCCGTAGTTCTCCTTCTCTTTCACATATTCATATCTAGATCATCTATCTTTCTAATTATTTTCCTACTATTTCTCTCCTAAAATCTCACCTTAATTTACTATCCTTCTCACTATCTCTCCTACGTAGTTCTCTTGACGTCAAATTTCAATTTATATATATTTCTAATTTACTTTCCTATTTATTTGGCTCTCTAATTAATTCAAAAAATTAAATTTCCTTTAATCACGTATTCTCATGGGACTACACTTTTAGCCTAAATGTCTTGAATATCAAGGGTAACTCATGCATTTCCATGAGAATACACCTTTTGGCCTAAACTTCCACAATATCGAGGGTACCTACCCCATATTCACTCTACGATTAGGGTCCCTTCTTATTGTCTTGACACATGTCCACCCCTTAACATTCGCTTAGTAATGTAGTAATAGATAAGGAAATTTAAAAGGCTTGCTCTCTTTCAACCAACTAAGCTCTCTCTCTCTCTCTCTCTCTCTCTCTCTCCAACTCCCAACCCTACCCACCACCAAAAAAAAAAAAAAATCTAGTTCCTATAGGTATAGATCGAGGATCCCATTTCCTTGAATCATCACCAAAATCACACAGAACAGAACCCATTTCTTCAAATTTTCATTAATCCACCATTTCTCTGATCCTTTGAGCTTCCTTTTCTCTCTTCTTGGCCCCCCATCACCAGAAGTCTAATACTTTCTGGAATCTGAATCAAGATTAGAAACTCATTTTGTTCATGAATCGGGGGATAAGAACTTCTTTTTGGATGTTTTGGCAAGCTTTAAAAGTGGTTTCTCCTCTAACATTGGTCGATTGAAATTGGGTTCCAACAATAATGGCTTTGAGGGCTCAGGTGATGAGCATGGAAATCTTCGATGCATATTTTCAATGGGAAAAATAGAACCAAGATAAAGCTGAGACGATACCATTCTTTGAGGGCTCCAATTCGGCTTCTGACAGGGTTTCAATGCTCTGAAATTCCAGAGAGATGAGGAAGTTCATGAAGCGAGAATCTGATCAGAAAGAACAAGAAAGATGTGTGGCATCGATGAGTTGTTAATCCAGTATGGCATCAACCACTACTAGAGAGAGATTCTTCAGTGTAAAATAGCAAGAAAGCCTTTTTCTCACTTTGTGCCTGATATTTTTAGTGATAAAATAGGTTCTCCACTTTTATACACTTGTATGGGAAATGACTTAAAAGTCTATCACAAATATTCAAAAACATTATTTAGGTGTTCTAGACAAGTACGGCTAGCCTAATTGTGCTTTATCGCAGAAATATGGCACATCCAAACAATATCTGGACTGATTTTAGAAAGTAATAACTTTAAACGGATAATACTCCTTGATACACATATTTTCCATCCAAACAGGCCCCGCGCTAATTTTAACCACCCTCAAGAAGCTCTCACCCTTTTAATGCAATTGTTAGTTACACAACTAGAGGATTTAGTGACACATGCAAGCACAGGATAACCCAACTACTAAGGTCAAGCAGACAAACATATGAACAAAATGTTATATGAATAAAACCATGAAAAATCAGAATAAAAGCCCCAGACCAAGATATGGATAGATAAGGACTATATAACCATGAACCAAAATCATCATCGACAGAAGGTCCCTGAGAATGAAGGAACTTAGCAGAGTCAATACAGTGAAAGCAGCACTTGGTAAAGGACAAAGACGACCTGACTAAGATCAGTATAGAGTGACCCCCTAAATACCATCAAACAGTACTTCCCAGCTGGAAAACAGAACATGCCAAAAATCTTATTCTTATTTCGCTTGCTAGCATTATATTGCTCAATACATCCACTTTCAAATTGGCCTCATATAATAATGCATAATCTAATAATTTAATATGGCAATGGAAAATCAAAATATATACAAGACGACGGAAAATTACATTGAAAATCACAATCAACAAAATAGTAAGTTTAAGAGAAGCATCAGTGACTAATGTATTCAATGTATTGTAAATTACAGAATAGAAGTCTTTGCATACAAAAAGCAAGCAAATTACACATAAGAAGTACAAAAGCCTAACAACTTATAGGAGTAAATATTCAACTGTAACTCACCTCCAGAGGACACCATATAATCGAAATTCATCTTCCAAGTCACGTTCAGTGACTCGTGGATCCAGGTCCCCACATAAACACGAGACATTATCGTACCCTACTGACAACCTAAACCAACACATACAAAAGTTAATTTGGGATAGAGCATGATAGAGCACATAAACTATGTAGAAGCCCAATGAAAACTAGCTATACTTCTTGCATTAAAGTAAATTGAAGTATTGAGAAGAAAAAGCACAGAAATGTCCCACAAAATATTAGGAACGAACCGACAAAACTACCCTAAGAAAAAAGCGTGAGCACGAGCATGTGCCACTAGTATATGAAATAAAATTTCTCTCACAAAATTTAATTTCCTTTTCATTTAGTGAGCATATGTTTAGAACACTCTTCTCTTTCACTCATGCTTCAGGATGACATCCTATAAAAAGTTTACTTTTAACATGTTAACAAGGTACAGAAGGAATCCTTGATGTCGAGTTGTAGCTCGGCCACCCTAACCACCCACGCCAAGGACCCACTCCTATTTCCTAAAAACTTTGTCCTTATTTTTTCAATTAAAGATTTATCTTTAACAAAAGGTCAACGTCTCTCTCTCTCTCTCACACACACACACACACAATATCTCTATCAAATGATATCACCTCTATCTCTTTCCCACAATATCTATAACAATGGTATCGCCTATTTCACCAACATCCAGTTTAACATCGAGACAGGCAAATTTGATGAGACTGCTGGTGGATACTTTCCAGAGACTTCAGTTTGTTACTTTGAAACATACAGAAATTTTGAAAAAGTAATCGATCGGCAAACATATTTCTCCAAAGCAATAGAATGTACAAGTGCAAGGTAAAAGCATCACAGCCAAAAAAGAAAACTCAGTTTGAAGTACACACAAATGAATAGTTATAATCAATAAAATCGCAGCTACTTAACAGATACACACGAGAATATTTTTTGAGTGAAAGTTAATACACAGGATAATATTTGGGTTTATTAATTAATAACTGTGGCTGATCAATCACTCTTGCTTTGATATAGAAACAATTCCAAACAAACAACTGGAAGAAAAGTAATATCATAAATTACTACCACAAAAAGTGTACAAAAGGAGGGCAAGATCATGGAAATCCATCAAATGCAAAACAGTCATTCCCCATTGTTATCGTTCACAAAGGAAAGAAATGATAACATAGAATATGCACCATTGCTTTCAAAGAAGACGGGTTAAACAAAAGGGGATATGCCAAATTTTGCCATGTTCTCTTTCTGTGTCCAGGCAATAGATTACCAATGATCTGACCCCAAAGAAAGCACTTACCTATCAATCTTTCCATCAAAAGTATAAAGTTCCAGCCAAAAAACTCAAAACAACCAAAAACTAGAGCCAGGACTTATAATTCTTATAAAATTCAAGCTGGTCTAGAAAAGTTATTCCTTGTTAACTATTGAAAAATAAAGAAAAGCCATCTATTTAGGAATACAGAGATCCCATGCCGAAGTCAAACTATCCATACAAAACCTAGTTCCGCTAAAGCCTAGTTTTATTAACCAAACAAGGAGAATAGCACGTTTTGAGTCATAACTTACTTTTACAGAGCAGTCTATGGTGTTCTTTCCACTAAAAAAACATCCACACAGAAAGCATAATCGGAAGAAAGTTCAGAGAGAGTAAAACTAGAATAGATAAAGAGAACATGAGAGAGAAAATGGCTACCTGAATGAGAGTGGGTAATGAAGTAGGACTTGTGAGAGTTGCAAAGCTCAAAGCGAGAATGGGTAACGGAGTAGGAATCGTTGGTAGTATTCTTTTTAAAATTTATCAAATTACCTCCAGTATAAGGTGGTAAAAAAAATCTCGAGCATTGTGAAGACCTCGGTGTTCCAATGGTAAACGGTCTCCCTAATTACAATCTTATAAATTAACAATTTATGCCATTCCTTCAATCAGAAAGAACTTTATATAAAATTTGATATTTTAAAATATAAATCAAGGTGCACATTTAAAATCCATCGAAAATGATTGTTTTGATATTGAAAAAAACTAATCAATCATCCCGACAAAGAGATGTATAGATATGGAGTAAAAAATAGATTTTAAATTTTAAAAGAATAATGATCATATGAGACCCTCCCACATCCATGTATGTGGGACTCCAAAGGATCTTCATTAAATTTTGACAGAGATATCTAAAAAAGTCAAATCCGACACCCATGTGATAACTTTTCTAGAGATTTATATCAAATTTAATGGTGATCATTTGAAGTCCTACACACATAGATATATGAGGGTCTCATAAAATCATTACTCATTTTAAAAATAGTACATCTTGCAACACATTATTTAAACCATCTATTTTCAAAAAAATTATGTGTTTATTAGTAGGCTTGATTTGAACTATTTTTGGCATCTAAAATTTTATAATTAGAGATAATAATAGATTTTGCACCATCTTAAGAATTTGGACACCAAAACTTCATTTCATTACAATTTTATGCAAACCACACCTTTTGATTTAATTTAAAAATACCCATGATATAACATGTAGCCCTCTGTTATTAATAGTTATAAAAGAGTAAATTACTAAATAGTTCATCTCTTGTGGTTATCTTCATAAAGAAAATATATACAATGAGACTTTTTTTTTATACAAGAAAGTCACAATCACTTTTTTTTTTTGGACAAATGTTACTACTTTTATTAAAAGCTGCGGAAATGCGATTACATTGTCAGAAATAACAAGAGAAGATAACAAAGCAACACTCCCCCCTTAGCAAATTCATCAGCCACCGAATTTACTTCACGGTAAACATGAGAGAAAGTTACCGTAATAGAAGAAGATAAATCCATAATGCGTAACCCTAAGGACGAAGATCCCAAGGGATACCTTGCTCCTTGTTGCACCACTTCACTATATTTAGTGAATCCCCTACTATATTTAGTGAATCCACTTCACAATCACTTATTAGGCACAAAGTTCAAACTAAAATTTCACGAATGTTATGACATACTTCAATCTATTATAGTTTACATCCGGCAACACCCAAAATATAACTTAAAATATGAAGATGCGGCTTCCATAGTCACTCCTTGAACGATGTGGCTTC